AAAAATTGTAAAAATGAGCCCTTTTAATTGAAGACACCCCATATATTACTTTTCTAATTGATAATCGTAGCTATATATTAATTTACTAAGTCAATTAATATTTATGCCTTAAGTAAAGCTGTCTGAGAAAATAAATTATATGTATTTTGAAATTTTCATATAAATAGAATTCTTTTATAAATATAAGATGCGAAAGTGAATTAATAACAAGTTATTCAATTTATATAAAAATTTCAGACTATATGCAATTTATTATCTCGAACAACTTTACTTAAGGTATAAATATAATTGATTTAGTAATATTTTGATTTTGATATATAGCTACGATATTAATAAAATTTTATTTTGCTTTGTAGCCAATTCTGATTGGTTAAAAGATATTAGAATATTAACTAACAGATATTAAATGATCTTCTAAGGTCATTTGGGCCTTGAAATAACAAATAATTAGTCATTTGTTATTTGAGTCATTTGGGTCATTTCAGGTTATTTACCATCTCTGCATTAGCTAGATAGAGGGTTCAATATCTATTAGTAATAAATTTTAAATATTCTATCTGTATAATGACTACTGTTTTTCAATAATCAGTTGAAATAGGATCGTTGTAACTTTTATAATATCAACAAGATTAAAAGATCATAGGTATTTATACAATATATAAATTATATGAAGATATGCAACCTGATATTAGATGGTGCAAACCTGAGATAAATTCTTGTAGTTATATAAAATCAAGAAACCAGAAAGATGGACACCTACTTGGAATAACCTAAGTAGAGAAATAGTACAAATTTTTAATAGTGGCTACTAGAATAGGTTTTACTTGAGACCAGTTAATTGGATAAAGCAAGTTGCTTTACAACCAGACTGCCAGAGTATTAGTCAGAAAAAAAGATTAACAGATACCACAAGACTAGTATTCCTTCTAGGCTATTTAAATTAGTAATCTGAGAAGACTAGTTAAAAGGTACTAAAAGAAAAGGTACTAAATTGTCTTAAAGAGAAGGTATTAGAATTTGGGTAAACTTTACAAGAGTATTAATAGATAATAGTAATGATTTTAGCTTGCAAGTACTTGTTCTCAAACTCAGTATAAGTTATCAAAAGTCTAGATTAGTCAGAATATAGGTACAGAAAACTCTAGCAGGTTTATCACAAGGTCAAAGAGCATTCTCTATTTAAAGTATTTGATTTTCAATATTTTTTCTATAATACCAGACTTAATTTTGATTCAGTCAGTGTTTAGGACTACTTTACCCTCAAAGTAATTCTCTACTATGTATAACAGGAGTGGATTCTACATCTATACCAGTTTGGATTCTTGCATCAGAGGTGATTCTATAATACTAGGCCAATTCTTTTCCATAAATATTGATAGTATTCTCTATTTTTCTCACTATAGTAGTGCCCACTTTTTGCTATCCAGTTTTTTTTTAGAAATTCCTTGATATATGTACCTTCATTCACACAAGGCTTCATGTTCGATTACAGGCTCCAATTTTGATTATAGAGTATTTTACCTCTAGCCAAACTCGAACTATTAATCTTGTCTGTAGGGAAATGGTAGCTTAACAACTAAGCTATGGAACCCAAACCCTGGGTAGATTTAATTTTAAATTTTAATATTATTTATTATATTGATATTTATTATATTGGTATTTATTATTGTAATTTATTAATAAATTAAATACAACATATATAAGTTTATAGTATATATATTAAATATTTCTAATTAATATTTTTATATTAATAAATACTTGAGTTAAAAAACTATCATGTAAAGACATATAAACGATTTAAAACTATATCTATTACATTAAAAAAACTTTAAAACTATAAAAAATTGAAAACATGCCCCGGGGCATCGCCCGGGTCTAAGAGCTAGTAAATACATTATTCCTCTTTCGAGCATACAACCAAATTACCATATATCATGATATTTATAATATTTATCCTTCCAACTATTACATACCACAGCGTAGCTCCATATGACTATATTACTACACATACGAGACTCTCTGTATTATTTGCTAGTCTCAGAAAGTTGGTCAATCTTAATCAACGAAATCACATGTTCGATCTTTTTTTGATAGTGATGCAGTGGAAGAATTATAATGATCATCAAGAATCATGACTTCACATTCTCTAGAACCTAAAAATTAAAAAGTAGTTAAAACTTTTATAGATTAATTGAAGACAAAATATAATAAGTGTAATTATTTACTATAAATTTTTAGCAATCCTGCAGATAAAGAATTAGTTGCCTCAGAAAGGTTTTTAAAATTAAGCAGTTTACTTGTAAGTTTATCTTTAGGGAAAAAAATTGGCAATTCTGTTGATAATGTTGGAATAATTGCATCTGCAGACTGAAATGCTTTTAATATTGCTAATTCATTATTATTTTCTGCAGCATTATTATCTACTATATTATACCATCTAGATAATTTATTATGGATATCTTCTGCAGTTGGTCTATTAAGAGAATTGGCATCCATACATTGATTGGCTAATTGGGTATAGCACTCAGGAGTACCTTTAGCAAATTCAGGACGTAATCTATTATATATTTGAATAGCTAATGTTTCATCATACTCAATATTATAATGAGGAGGTCTTCCCATGGACATCTCAGCCATAATAATGCCAAAACTATAAATGTCAGCAGTTGTTGTATATAGTTGTTTATTTAACACTTCTGGCGCAACATAGGGTAAAACACCGTAAATACCATCTTCTAAATCTGAATCATCCTTTTTTCTAGATAATCCTAGATCTGCAATATAAGATATTAAACCTTCATTAATATATTGATTTTGCAATATATTACTACTATGAAAATCATCATGAACATATTCTGCTTTGTGTACTTTGTTTAAATTTTTAGATATATCAACAAGTTGCTTTAATTTATTTTTCCAATTAAGATCTCTAAAATTTAAAGATAGAAATTTATGAAGACTTCCCCTATTTGCATATTGAAGTACCATTAAATATTCATCGTTAGTTGTATTTTGAGTTTGTCCATACACTTCAAGATTACTACCCACTAATCTAAATTCCATATAATTTTTAAACTTATTAAAATTTATAATGTTAATAGTTTATCTATAATTTGTCTATATGTATTAGATCATAAATAAAACATTTTAATTTACTTCTCTTAAGAAATTCTTTCGTGAGCCAGGTAAAGTTTTAAGTGCAACTACACATGATGGTGTACGTGATTGTGTGTGTCTATCAGAATAGGTATCTGAAATTATTCTTTTACCAACTAGCCACGTTGTAAAAAATACAGAGCCAAATCCCCCTTTACTAATCGGTTGAACTTTAACTAATCTATTAAAAGGAATCCATTCAATTACACTTTCGTATTTAGTGGCTTTAAGTTGAAATTCTTTAACACAATTACTAAAAGAGAAACCTGGCAAAATTATTGTCTTGACCATAATATTAGTATTGCTTGTATCACTGAACCTAAAATTTCAGATAAGTCTAATCTAATACAATCATCGACATCCTTATTTCTACTTGTCCATCCTTGACTTGTCTTCTGAGGGTCGCATGTTTGACACCAGGCTAGTGATGTGTTATATCACTTGCAATTTGAACATTTTCCATTACTTAAAAAATCTTTTTTTATAGAATTCATCAAATACTAACATATATTCATTTGTGGATGTGTTTTGAGTTAGTCCAAATACTTTAAGATCATTATTCTTTAACTGTACATAATCTACAAATTTATTAAGCATGTAAAATATACAGTACATTAAGATAAACCTATATACATTGCGTAACAACGATATATAACGGTGACAATCACTTCACCGACGGTCATTTCACATCACTTTGGTGACAATTTAGAATGTTAACAGTTTTGTCATAAATTGACACGTTACGTGATGTCGTTTCGATCGTTGGTGAAATGATACGGACCCCAACGATAAATTAATAAATATTTTAGGGGAAATTACACATCGGGACCCAAATTTGAAAATAATTATAAATGAGGGCCCAACTTAAAAATATTTAGTTAGAAAGGCCTAATTTTTTGAAAATATTACAAATACGAGCACAAGTAATTTTGCGTTGTACAAATCAGTTCCCATTGTGGCTTAAGCACGATCTCAAGCCAATCATGAGTTAACTTATATATGCGCATAAG